GGGGGGGGGGGTGGATAACCCTAGGTGAGGCACTGTGGAATGTTGTATAAGAGAATAAGAAGTTATACTTACATTCAATCCTAAAGGTTGTGAAGGAGCTGCTTTTGAAAAGCAGAGGGGGGCGGGGTGAGTACGTGGGAAATGTGCTGAGACAAAAGAGATGCCGTGGGCCCCGTGACGAGACACAGGTGAACAAGGAGAGGGGTGGATGGGGGCGGGAATTGAGATGGAGGGAAGGGCCGGTGTCACCCCGGGCAGGGCCTTGTAAGCCAACCTGAGGAAGGTGATTGTCCTTTCAAGTTCAGTGGAAGAATGACTAAGTAGATGAGTGCCATCATCTAATTAGTGTATGAAATAGCAATGATATTGAATATTCACAGAGCCCCTACTCTGTGCCAGACACATTTTTCACGACTCAGCACACACTGATATCTCTAATAACCCCGTGAAATGGAACTCACATAAGGCCCAGAACAGTTCCGTGGCATCCAGAGTTGTCCAGCTAGCAAATTCCATCACTAGAGTTTAAACCTGAGCAGCGTATACCCTCACTAGTAACCACCCCTATTTTCCTAGCTAGTTAACGACATCTATCAACTTTTAAAAGTTACATAAGCAGCATTAAACAGTGCTTAAGTGCATGAGAATAGATGAAGGTTTTTTGAGGACTGAGTTTATGTTTAAAGTTTATTTATTTATTTTGAGAGAGAGAGACAGAGAGACAGAGAGAGAGAGAGAGAGAGAGCAGGGGAAGGACAGAGATGGAGAGAGGCAGAATCTCCAGAAGGATCTGGACTGCACAGGGCCTGACGTGGGGCTCGAGCCCATGAAACCGTGAAATCCTGACCTGAGCTGAAATCAAGAGCAGGGGCCAAGTGCGGCGCAGCCTGCTAAGCCGTCCGACCAGCCAGGCCCACCATCTCATGTCCGTGAGCCCAGCCTGCCGGGCTTCCTGGGCTGATGGCTCAGAGCCTGGAGCCTGCTCGATCTCTGTGCCCTCCCTCTCTGCCCCTCCCATCCATACTCTGGTCTCTCTGTCCCAAAAATAAATAAACGTTAAAAAAAAAAAAAAAAAGAGTTAGGACACTTAACTGGCTGAGCCATCAGGTGCCTGGGACGGAGTTTTGGAAGAAGACCCAGGACTGAGCCCTGTGTGCTCCTGGCAGTATACACGGAGTAGAATGATAAAGCTAGCAAAGGCCACTGAAAAGCAGTGAGCCAGTAAGAGGGGGGCACTGCCGATGAGGAGGTGGTAGGGAACCAAGGTGGGTGTCCTAAGATGAAACGAAGGTCAGTCGTGCTTCATGCTGTGGAGAAGTGAGTAGACATCTGTGCCTGATTAGATCACGAAAATCCTTCATGAGCAGGCCAAGAGAAATCTCACGGAGAGGCCTAAAAAAAAAGGCTGATGGATGGGAGTAAGAGTGAAAAAGATGAAGTCAAGATGGAATATATGGACGAATGTTTAGAATTCTGTTGGTGGAAGAGAAATAGAGAGAAAGATCGTTTGGGTCAGGGAGAACACACACACACACATACACACACACACACACACATAAGGAAAGAACAACCAAGCATATGCACACGCTGATAAGAGAAAAGGGAGCCTTTGAACATGCAGGAGAGAAAACAATATCAATGTATAAGTTTCTTTGAGGAGACAAAGCAAGAGAAGATTCAGGGAAGAAATGGGAGGTTCAGCCTTTGCTGGAGAAGGGATTGTCCTGATTGGGCGTGTGTGAGAAAATGTGTGTACTTTGGCCAGTAGAAAACTTTGGCCAGTGGGTTCTTGCTCTGCATTGAGAAAAAGGCAAATAGGGGCGCCTGGGTGGCTCAGTCAGTTCAGCATTTGACTCTTGATTTTGGCTCAGGTCATGATCTCACAATTTGTGAGATTGAGCCCCGCATCGGGCTCTGAACTGACATTGTAGAGCCTGCTTGGGATTCTCTTTCTCTCTCTGCCCCTTCCTAATTCTCTCTCTCTCTCTCTCTCTCTCTCTGTCTCTGTCTCTCTCAAAACAAATAAAAAAAACATTTAAAATTGTTCAAACAAAGAAAAAGGCGGGGCGCCTGGGTGGCGCAGTCGGTTAAGCGTCCGACTTCAGCCAGGTCACGATCTCGCGGTCCGGGAGTTCGAGCCCCGCGTCGGGCTCTGGGCTGATGGCTCAGAGCCTGGAGCCTGTTTCCGATTCTGTGTCTCCCTCTCTCTCTGCCCCTCCCCCATTCATGCTCTGTCTCTCTCTGTCCCAAAAATAAATAAACGTTGAAAAAAAAAATTCAAAGAAAAAGGCAAATAATTAGAAATATATGATATTGTTGATAATGGGCCTCCATCTATACTAAATGCTTCACATAGGTTATTTCAATTAATTTTCAGAGAATGCTTCTCAGAAAATTCTCAGAAAAAAAATTTAATTTTTAATTAACAGCTGATG